TATTGGTAGTGTAGGTTATAAAGCCAAGAGCAGTATTCCTGTCGGACCCGTCTCCGCTTTCATAAAATCTTAATACCGGTTGATGGACGCGGGAAAATTGTTCTCCCAGTCAATACGGATTACACAATACCAAGCATGTGAAACAGGCGGCTAGGCCTCAACCTCTCTCTATTAACAATGATAGTAAAAGTCGCACAAATGGTAAAGCTAAATGTAGCAAGTGTGAAGTCAGTTAAAAATTTTACAAGAGACATGGTATAAAAAAAACAAAAAATATTTGAAGCACAACGCAGATGGCATTTTCATTACTTAAATCTGACCGAATTCTGACTCTTTACTCTCTTTGTGGTTAAACACGGCCATGTTTTTCAATTCCTTCTGATGAATCTTAAATCCGAACATAAATGTTGTTTTCTCTGATTTGTTTTAAATCATATCCTCATAATTGAAAATATAGAGATAAATCCAGGTTCGAATTTATAAACTGACACTGATTCTAACTCCAGTATAAAATGGAACCTCAATATCCATATGTAACATAAACATAGTGGGTATGGTTGTCTTCAAAGAGAATGTTCTGTGTTGGTGATTTGGTCCAAACCGGTGCTGGTGATCGTTGAAAAATGTGAACAAAGATGAAAAAGATGTTTTAAACATTTTCTTAAATACAACATAGAAATAAAAAATTGAAATGTTTTTATTTTGTTTCTAATGGATTCAAAGACAATGAATATTAAAAAAAATGGCCCTCTATGCTGTTTAAGTATGCGTAACACCTAAGTGTTTATTGTAAAAGCATCTAGAATGAACAAACATGCTCCACTTTCTATACTCAAATCTGCAAATTGTGAAAAACCGTTCACCAAAATTGTGCATTTTCTCAGTTTCGACATGTCCTGATTCTGTTGGTCCTGGCGTTATGCTACTGAGTCCTTTTACGGTAGTTTTGATTAGTGACAAGACTTAATTCCTATTTGAATAATTTAATTTGGATCAATAAAATTTGGCAAAGAATTGAATACAACCGTATTTTTGCTCTATTTTTTACTTTTGGACATCCATTTGTTTCCATTAAATTAAAGGTTACACGTGAGCAAAAAATAATGCGACACTTGCGATCGCATGAAACAACAGCATTAAAAACTATACCCCACATGGAGGTAAAATGGTCTATCCTAAAATGATTTTCATGGTATATTTTCAACTAGTAATATCTTCAATTAATGCTAGATGCACAACTGTTTTGCTATCTTTCTTTTAAACATCGTAAATTGGTTTAAAATCAACTAATAATTGTGAATCAATCAGTGGTGCGTTTAGAATTTACAAAAGTTGCTAACACGATCGCGAGCGAACATGTGGATCAAGTGTCCAATTTCAAGGGATCAATAAACACACACACATACACACTCACCCTCACAAACATGTGTGATTTATATACTAGTAGTTAGATAAAGTTAGTTAGATCTACAATAAATGTTCATGAGACACCAGCCAAACAACAAAGACATGATCATCTACACCAGTGCAAATGGAGTTCATATGCATCTATAAAGACCACACTGTATAACAAGTTTTAAATGGTCCAACACAAAAAGACAAACAAGTAACAAGTTAAACCTCTATCTTAGTTTTAGATGTGCATATAATAGACCAAGATGTAGATATCCTGCAAACGGAACTTGTCAGAAAACAAAAATATCTAATACAGCAGAATCTTCAATTAGTTGAAGGAGGCTATTACCCGACAGAAACAGAACATATTACAGACGCCGAATATGAGGCTTGTACAGTATCTGCCAAGCAGATACTCATCGGGTGCGCTTTAATCTGTCCTTGGGCTCTAACTATAGATCAAATGATCATAGATCTTGTTTTATTCATTTACATACAAGAAAACACATGAACAATCTTGCATTATATATAATGTGATACGGATTATTAAACACTTAAACATTTTTTAGAAGAAAACGCAATTAGACGCTTGAAAAACAATTCAACATGTAGGCTTAACGACCTGTATTTAATTCGGGTGTATGGACTCGCCACAACGCGACAACTAGTACCAAAAGGGGGGGGGGGGCGGCCGGGGGCGGGGGTGATAATCTCTTTTAAAGTTATTAAGCGAGTCCCGTGAAATATTTTGGTTCCTTTTGGGGTTTTTTGTTGTTGTTGTTGTTATTGTTGTAGTTTGTTTTTTTGGTTTTTTTTGGGGGGGGAGGGGGGAGGAGGGTTTCAATCTATTTGTCTTAGTACTTACTCGTGTCAAAAAAGCAAATATTTACGGTGTAGTTGAGCCCAATTTTTTTTTAAGTGGTACTTCCACAGACTTGCCTAGGAAATTTAGCAAATTTTGCTTAGTTATCTCCTACTCCCAAAATTCATATGTCGCATGAAAATTTAAGTCTGACATGTTTCGGTGCATGCAGTGTAATAACCCTATACAGGGACACATTTCAGCGAAACGTAGGTAAGTCCCATGACAGCCTTGATTAAGATTACAGAAATATGTCATATTCTAAAAAAAAAAGCATTCAACAGTCAAAATAAAGTATCCCTCAAACGGGTCTTACGTGTACTTATCTTTCATCAAATTGTAAGCGAGCTCTATTAAATTTTTCTTACATTTGAACGAAAGGTACAAACGAATGTAAGTAGAGCATGTATTATTCCCACGAGAACACTGAGAATCTATTTTTAATCCGGTAAAACGGGAATAATTTTTTTCTGAATTAACTGAATCTTTGAAAATGGATTATTTTTGATGGGTTTTTTAGTGGAGGGGGAGGTGTAGTTGAAATTATTTTTTGTTGGGAGCGGGGGTCTTCTGACGAGCCAATATTTAGCAAGTTTTTTTATATTGTTTGGGGCGCGGGTCTTCTGACGAGTCAATATTTAGCAAGTTGTGTTCAGTTGTCTCCTTCGCCTTAGTTTTATTATTTTTTTTTTACATCGTACGTCACAAAATTCCGATGTCGCGTGAGAATTCAAGATTGACATATGTTGTTGCATGCTTGATATACAAACATTGAGGCGAAACGCCACCTAAGTCCCATGAAAGCTTTATTAATATCACAAAAAAAGAATTCAAAATTCACAATAAACAATCCCTCAAATGGGTCTTACGTATATGATTCGTCAAGCGTTCGTACCTTTCGTCAAATTGTACGAAAGCTCTATTTTAACCTTTTGTACCAAATTGTAGACTCTCATTGACCCCTCATCGTTTATACCGTCAACGATACGACTATGGAATAACCTTGTTGAGAAGTGTTTATAAGTTTGCTTAAGTTGTGTCTCACACCTTTAGAAGATTTAAACGGATATAATATGTATTTAATGAATATATATAATTAGAATATAGCAAAGTACTCTCGACCAATGAAATTGTAGAATTGGATGCCTCTTAATTGTGAAGAATGAATGTAAATCATGTTCTTAGTAAGGGATTTTCCTATTATTTGGGTTTATTTACAGTTCAAAACAAAGAGTTTCTATAAATGAGTTACAACTGCCCCGAAGCACATTTATCAGATTGAAAGGATTTATCACACAGTGATTGAAACTGACTAAAAGTTGAATTGTGAAACAAACAAAAATCTCAAAATAAGTTGAAGTTTACTGGTGCAGTAAAATTGGTACCGTGAATTTTATTATGAAAATATTACTATAAAATTAAACAATACCAAAGCAATGCAAAAAAAAAGAAAAAAATTCTTTCAGATAAAAAATAACCTAAATCTTATTGGCTGTGAAATAAAATTTAGTTGTAACTCAAATGTATTAATTGATTTAAACTGTAAATAAAAAAGGATAATTCCTCACTAAAATATTACATGATTTACATTCATACTCACAATCAGGAAACATACAATTTCTACCTTTTCTTTCTACTGTTGTGTCACCTAATATCTATAACGCATTTTTTAAAAAATATTTCCCAAATGATAAGAAAGTCCTCACATCACTAAAACTTATCCATAAATGACATGTCGAAAAAGGAAGTCATGCATCAATTATAAACATTGCACTGATAATGAAACTAATTCTTGAATAGATCATTTGAGCCTTGAGCACTTTACAATATTCTAAGTTTGTAAGAGAATGATAATCCCTTACTTCATGATAAGTACTCGCTAACGCTCGTACTTATTCATGAAGAAAGGGATTATCATTCTCTTACATATACTAAGTTATCAAAAGTATATACACTTCGAGATCACAGATTAAATTCGTTTTCACAGATTTTCAGGTTAAATCTGTGGTAATGATTTTTAAATTTGTGATCACAATTTTTCAAGTTCATGATGACCAATATGTCTATTAATCTGGGATAACGGATTGTACAAATTTAAACCGTGACAATGAAAAATAATTTGTTGTAACGAATAATGTAATTTGATGTAACGAATAATATAATTTGTTATCCGTTTTTACGATGTTTCAAATTCCATATCTCGAATTCAAATCATATTTTGATGTCTTAAATAGGGTTTCGTTTACATCGTGTTGCTGAAATTTGTCCTTTGAGTTCTATATCACGGATAAAAATCATTAAGGCGAATTCTATACTTCGTTATCACAAATCGTGATAACGAATTTGTGGAAATAGTTATCACATATATTTGTACTTAATTTCAATGATTTTTCAAATTCCCTCACCACGAATGATAAAAACTTGTGAGTACCAATATAATTTGGGATCCCTAGTTACAAATACACGTTATAACAAATTCCATTATTGAATACGTGATAACGTATAGTGATTGGCGTTAATGAATTATACAATTATTGATAACGATTTCATCCGTGATCGCATTTTTTTTTTAAATTAGAGATCTCTATTTCAAGTTATTTTTTTGGGAGAACCGAAAAGGAATTGTTTAGCCTTATTATAAAAGAAAAAAGAAGAAAAAAGAAACATTATGTATGATATATCTCCATTTATGAGAAGATTCATCTAATTAAAATACAGACAATTCTATCTTCCCCAATTTTAGCTATATGTGGCGGTCGGACACCTCAAAATGGAGCATGTAATGAAGAAGCAGAAAATGATCAGATTATCTACAGACATAGAGCTACGCGATATAGTGGCGACGGAACATGTACTTCACCAGGAAGATGTTCCTCTTGCAAGGATGGATTTTTTGCCAATGGTGGCTATTGTACAAGTACGTCTTTCTTCAATAAGAATGTTGGCACAACGTATCCCCATTATGATATATTCCAAAAACAAACTAATGTTAGTACGTCTCGGTGAAGACCATTTTATGTCGTTGCAGTCTACATGTATAAAGTGGATGATAGAATAAAACAGACAAAATACGTCTGATTTTCACAGTAGTATTTATAATTATGATTTTATGAAATAATTAATTCAATATAAGCCCAAAAATAATCGACAATTCTAATATGACGCTCTTCTTTCGCTTTAAGTCACGTAAGTCTACTTCCAATGAAACATGGGTTACACTTGACAACTGAATTTGTAAGGACTAAAATTGTAATGTCTGCGTCAGTTGCCCGTCATGAAATTCAATAAAGTCTTTTAAAAAGTGAGTTTTGATAAAAAAAAAGTTTAGCTTATTAAAACAGAATACCACATGCTAATTTTTACGGTGATGTTGTTTATAAGAATTTTCTAATGTCAAAGGTAGATCGTCATATAAATGTTTTTTGGATTTAAACCACTTAGAAATGATACATATTTTTTTGTAAGACTAGTTTCTGTTAAGATTATTTTGTACAAAGTAAAGAGTTTAAATCAAGTATCCTGTCATTTAAATTTTCTTCTCCTCTCCTGACACACAATAATCACATGTAGGCTGTAAAATCGGAAATATTTTTTATAATTTAAAACTACTAGCTATATATATAGTAAATGTTAACATGAAAGAAAATTCTTACAAATACAAACACTTATCTGTGTTCACTAGGATGACTTATAATAACTAGTATTTGTCAAGCCTAAGGGTAATTAACAATCAGATAAAATTTAAAACAAATCAAACACAGTTTTGTTACTGTAAACATATTTTATTAAAGAAATCGTTATAATATATAGCTACAAGGGTAAAGACATAAATACGAAATATACAAAAGATTCAATAATTGGGATTAGGAAACAAGAGCAGTGCTCTTATATAAATCCGTCTCCCTAATTTCGAAAATAAAATTACAAGCTATGAATACATGCTGAATAGCAAACGAATAAATATGTAACAAAATACAGTCAATAATTACAAGAACAAAAGGAAAATTCATAAGAAAAAAATATATAGCAAAGGAAAGGGGTGAAAGGCGTTTTTAAAAAATGAGAGTGTTATTAAAGAATGAAACAATATTTTTTATATAGGGGAGGAGTGATTAATTAGAATTATTTGATTGTGGATGTGAATCGGTTACTACTTATTATAAAGTTTTGCACAGCTTTGAATATCAGTATGTTTTGTTCTACTGTGAGTCTATCGGAGCCAAAAAGTAAGACATTAGTGGAATTTTTGATTGGAATCTGAAGGTTGTGAATGTGTCTTTGGCGAGGTACATTGAGTATTTTGCATTTTAATAAATAGTGTTCCGTTGTTTCAGGGTCTCCACAAACACACTTTGGGGATTGTATCAAGTTTCTGACAAAGAGGTGTTTGTTGAGTCCACTACAGTTCATTCTTATTCTCGCATGATATATTTGACCGGATCTGGAACCACAATAATAAAATACCGGCTTAATTTCTCGGTTACTTTTTAAATTATTTTTGAAGGTGAGAAGGGACGGACTATTTTGTATTTCAATTGTCTGTGAGTTCCAGGATTTTACTGTTGATGAGAGAAAATAGTTAGAGTATAATGTTGTTCTAGATGCAATAGGTTGAAAATCATTCGCATTACGCGTATTATATTCATGTATATTACGGAACCGTTCAGGTGAAGTATTATTAAGACAAGATGGAGTAATATTGTTAGACATTTTGTACAAATATGTAAGTTTGTGGGCCTCCCGTCTACCCTTTAGTTTTTCCCATCCCGTTTCCTTATAAAGTAAATTAATAGATGTTAACCGTGTTCCTCCAGTCACAATCCTTGCAGCCTCTATTTGGACGCTTTCTATTTTATGAACTAAAATCAATGTAGATGTATCCCAAACTACATCAGCATATTCAAGAACCGGCCTTATATAAGAAAAATAAAGTTGTTCTAAAGTTTTTCTGTTTAAAATGAATTTAAATTTTCTAAGTATATTTAAGCGGGAATAAGCTTTTTTAACCATCATATTGATATGCTTGTGCCAATTACCGTCGTTTGACAGTATCACACCAAGATGCTTGTGTTCATTTACAGAGATTAAAGGAAAATTATTCATGAAAAGCTGTGGATGAAATGTTTTTTTCAGTTTCCGGGATATGGTCATGCTCTCAGTTTTATTTGCATTAAAATTAACCAACCACTTCTCAGACCAGTAGTGAATTTTCTTTAAATCTTCATTTAACTTTTATGCATCCTTTACTGGATTTTCTACTATAAGATACAGACTTGTGTCATCTGCAAACAGTTTTATTTCTGACTGAATTTCAGCTACAATATCATTAATAAATATATAAAAGAAGAGAGGACCAATGATTGATCCCTGAGGAACACCGGCATTAATGTCTCGCCATCCTGACGTTTTATTGTTAATAACCACTCGTTGCTTCCTGTCTCTTAAGTAGTCTTTGACCCAGTGAAGCAACTGACCTGATATACCAATTGCTTCTAATTTACGAATCAACCCCTTATGCCAAACTCTATCAAAAGCTTTACTTATATCACAAAATATAACCCGAATTTCCTTACCCGCATCTAAAGCCCTCCCAAATTCGTTTGTCAAATATAATAATTGATTGATAGTGGAGTCACCAGGTGTAAATCCTGACTGGTTGTCCGTCAAAATATCATTTTCAAGTAAGTAATTGTAAATATGCTTATATTCACATCTTTCCATAACTTTACCGAGAACACTTATCAGGGAAATCGGTCTATAATTTGATACTTCCGTAGAAGAATTTTTTTTGAAAACAGGAATAACATTGGCAAGTTTCAAGTCACCTGGGAAACCTACCAACAGAAATAGACATGTTAAATAATTTACAAAAAGGACGTTTAACAATATTACTCGCTTCTTTCAATAACCGAGGACTTACGCAATCGGGCCCAATAGCTTTCGTGTCTAAATTTAACAATATGTCCTCAACATCTTTTTCTGTAATTTCTATTACCATAATTAGGTCATAGTACAAGTTTTACTTTTGGCAAGCAAATAAGGTCATTGTAATTGGGATCTTAGTTTACCGTTGACGTATAGTTAAATTAAGTTTATAAGTGGACAATGGCATTATGAATTTGAGTTTTTTGCCGGTATTCAACATATCATAATCACGTATAAAAAGAAAGAAAAAAAAATTAAATAATTAGGTCTCATACCATGCAAATAACTGACTAAACGCTGTTAATATTGATAAACTTAAGATACTGTACATATAGATAAGGATTAAAATACAAGGTTGCTCAAGTGAATAGTAAGTCACAATAATTTTACTGTTTAAATGCAGTCAATCTCAAAGTTAATGAAGATTTTATAAGTGTTAATAAGTTGGATTCATAAGCATGCCGACTGAGAGATACCCGTAATCCAGTTTTGCTTGATAACTGCTCCGTTAAAGTCATGTGCAGTGTTGATATAATACACTGTGCCATTTTTATCTTTCAAGTAGATCTTGCCGTTGACAGTCCAGCATTGTGTAGCACCTTTTTGTTTGGTAAGGCATCTGGTATATGGTAGTACAATCTGTTCCTATATTTGGTCAGGTCTTCGTTGATGTAGACATTTTTATAATTCCTTGACGATTTGAGGTGTTTTCGACATCTCAGGATTCTTATCTTTGTGTTTGGATTAATAACCCGTACCATGATTTGTCGTGGTTGTTTCTTAGATCTCGTGTTGTTGTTATCATATGGTTGTTCCGTTTCTGAGGTGATGAATTCAGCTGATGTTTCGGAACTTTCTGCAGCATCGTCTGTATCTGAGTCGGACAGCGACAGTTGAGCAGATACGTGTTGTTCGGACGTATTGGCATGATCAGGTTTATTACATAGAGCCATGTCTATAGATTCAGGCACTGGAATAGATTTAGCAGTATCAGATTTGTTTCTTTTTGCGTCGGGTTGTTCTGGTGGCGTAGGATTGCTCGTACGTTCCTGGCGCTTTTCAAAATTTGGTGTTTGTGACATTTATCAAGAATGCAAATCAACATAAATCTTTTATGTATATTATGTATGTAATGTGTTGTGAGTATCTACAGAGTCAATGTTTTTAAAGTATTGTTCATTGATCAATTATTTTAACACTTACTAAGGTCCATGAGTGAAACTCACACAAGTCCAACAATAACAAATTCCAACATAGAATAAACACGATAAGTCCTTTGTTTTCACCAATTTAAAGTAATTTCTGTCAGATTATATCACATAAAGATACCACATTGATAATTTTACTTTCTCCTAAACTCCAGAGGAGGAGGAAAACTATTATTTTTACATATTTTATCTCTCTGCTAAAATACTGCGGCTATCCACCGGAGCATGCGTACATAAAAAAAAATTAAAAAAAAAATCGTTAAACATCTGAACTTTATGGCATTACAAGACCTCTGAATGATATAAAGCTTAATCTGTTATTTCAATATAACAAGAAATTGTCATTTCATTTTTATTTGTCATATCTTATACATTTGTTTGGAATAGGCGGTTGTGAAAACCATGGCCTACAAAATGATTATATTCAGTGTACGGAGTTGCTTTATTACAGTTGGGATCAGTTCTAACCTCTCGTCAGAGTTGTCAAAATAATATGTTGTAAACAGTTCCAGAAAAGTTCTACATTAGAAGAGGTCTGTGTTAGAACTATTCAAGGATAGAGCTGTCAGAATCTGTTCTAGGTACTACTGAGAATATTTATGAATGAAGTTTACCAGAGCAGCTATCTTGTCGTGATTTACAAAACGGGAACAGTAAGGGGGATTTCCCCTGCAAGTCATATTTTAGACATAGAGGATTAAATAAAAAAACAGTCTTGGGTGTAACACAATTTGGGAGAAAACAATATTTAACATGGTGTATTCCAATAAATAGTAATACGTCT